ATGATATTACTCGCTTCTGGCAGTAGAAAACTATATATTTTAGATGAAACAACAAGAAAAATTCATGCGTTTCATGCGTATATTTTAGGATGTGACAGGTTCGAATAGGCATTATTTTGTTCGCTTTTCATGCAAACGAATATATATATTGCTCGAAAAACAAGAAGTAACGTGTATATCCGTCTTTCAGACTACTGGAGTGGAAGAAAATTAAAAAAGATTGAGTTATAATGCACAATTAAATTCAGTGTGCTTCAGACAATCTTGGACAAAACCCTTGAGACCATTTCAGCTAATATTACAAAGTTATTGAACATTGACAAAACAAACTTTGTCCCCCTCTCCCCCCAGTTCAATGTTGTGAACAACGCCGAAACAACTTTTGGTAATATACCATGATACAAGCTCAACATTGAGTTGGGGGAGCGGGGGTTTAAGAATGGCAACATGATTCAACATGGAGTTTATCATAAAAATACGCGAATTTTCTATAGGGGAAAATAGTCTCAACCAGTTATGTCCAAGATTGTCTGAATGTGGGAATTTTACAAGCATACCAATTGTTTGAGAGTTATGGTTAGAAAGGCAGGTCGGTTAGTGTTGCGATGGAGGAAAAATTATTAAATATATGTTACACTGCAAGTACTGTAGGTAACCGAAATTTTTATACATATTAGCAATCATTCCAGGCGATGCAAAATCTATATTTATATTGTAAGTAAAGGGAAATTAATTAGGAGGACATAATACACGTCTGGATAAAAGTAAATTATTTATTGGACATCTGTTAAACTTGATTTCTACCTTATTCCATATCATCATTGAAAGCTTCGTATAGTGAATGTAAAAACATATCCAACACTAAAAGTAGTGGAATTGGTCAAACTTGATAACATGGTTTGCTCAGAAAACGGCTAATCACTCTAACGTGGGAACGTTCCCTGATCCATTTGAACCATTTAGCTACTGCTATAGAACATAGCTACAGAGTTTAAAAAGAAATGGAATCATGGGCATGCTAAACGTTGTCTACAGTAACACAGCTACTTTCATATAGGCAATCTGCACTTTGCACAGGTTATTATACTATGGCGACCCCCCACGAGGAACAAAGTGTCGCCTGTACCAGCTACAGAGTTTAAAAAGAAATGGAATCATGGACATGCTAAACGTTGTCTACACAGCTACTTTCATATAGGCAATTGGCACTTTGCACAGGTTATTATAGTATGGCGACCCCCCACGAGGAACAATGTGTCGCCTAGTCAATGTAATGCCAATTTGAACTTGTCACATCCTAAAATATACGCATGAAACGCATCAATTTTTCTTGTTGTTTCATCTAAAATATATAGTTTTCTACTGCCAGAAGCGAGTAATATCATGTTACTAGGGCATAGAGATCGAGACACATGCACTGGGATTTAATTCAGTTATGTAAATATCACGTTCAAGTGTTGCTGTATATAGGTGTTTTCTATAAGATGACGTCATTTGTTCTATAATTTATGAGCCTCAAACTTGCTTTTAAAACTTACAATTTAACCCGAATTTTTTTATATGACGGTTAACCAAGTATAATCTTTATCGTGGTTTGATAAAAGAACGGTAAACAGGCCATTAGAACGGTAAACGGCGACTCCAATTTAAAACAATGACTAGACCTATCATTTACTATAATATCTTGCTGCTATCCCCGTTTACCGTTCTAATGGCCTGTTTACCGTTCTTTTATCAAACCACGATAAAGATTATACTTGGTTAACCGTCATATAAAAAATTTCGGGTTAAATTATAAGTTTTAAAAGCAAGTTTGAGGCTGATCAACTATAGAACAAATGACGTCATCTTATAGAAAATACCAATACACAGCAACACTTGAACGTGATATTTACATAATTGAATTTAATCCCAATGCATGTGTCTCGACCTCTATGCCCTAGTAACATGATATTACTCGCTTCTGGCAGTAGAAAACTATATATTTTAGATGAAACAACAAGAAAAATTCATGCGTTTCATGCGTATATTTTAGGATGTGACAGGTTCGAATAGGCATTATTTTGTTCGCTTTTCATGCAAACGAATATATATATTGCTCGAAAAACAAGAAGTAACGTGTATATCCGTCTTTCAGACTACTGGAGTGGAAGAAAATTAAAAAAGATTGAGTTATAATGCACAATTAAATTCAGTGTGCTTCAGACAATCTTGGACAAAACCCTTGAGACCATTTCAGCTAATATTACAAAGTTATTGAACATTGACAAAACAAACTTTGTCCCCCCCTCCCCCCCAGTTCAATGTTGTGAACAACGCCGAAACAACTTTTGGTTATATACCATGATACAAGCTCAACATTGAGTTGGGGGAGCGGGGGTTTAAGAATGGCAACATGATTCAACATGGAGTTTATCATAAAAATACGCGAATTTTCTATAGGGGGAAAATAGTCTCAACCAGTTATGTCCAAGATTGTAGCGCGCCCCAAACCCTGTCTTCTTCATTCTCGTACACAGAGCCCTTCTTACGCGCGGTGCGACGAGGGGCTCTGACAAAAACGTTTAATTGGCGGGAAAATTATAGGTTTTTCAAAATATTTGTTTTTTTTTGTATTTTGAAAGAGCGAGTTTAAATGGAAAATGGACTTGAACTTCTGCTGTTGTAGTACCTTTCTGTGGCGTTTAATCGTTCAATTTTGTTTCAATCACTTGAAATTCGCAGCGTAGTGATCGCAGCGTAGTGATCGCAACGTGAAATTGACAAAATTCCGTCGTAGAATCGTTGACTACGCGTTGGTATTACACAAGACGCGTTGGCCGCGCTAGTTACGAAGCCTTTCTAACGCGTCTTCCCTCGTAAACTCTCTAATGGCAGACTGTAATGCTGACCTTAACTAGAATTAATGAGGTGTAATGGAAGATTACGGTACAGAATAAGCATTATCATCATTTGCCTTATGTCTAAATGGTTTTTGATGAGATTTGGGGAAAAAAACTATAGGAACCTTAGCCTTTGGAAAACAATGCATGATACCGAAAAGATAAGACATTGCAATTATTTTTTTGTAGCGGTCATGATACTGAGAATTTCTTGCGTCTAGTTCGGAACAGTGAGACGGTGGGTTTGGAAAGATTACAGTCATTAATCTAATTATAAATCTTATGATCGTTAATCGAACCTTTGTTAATATGGGGCCTAATATGGTACCACTTAGACTTTTGCTGCTACAAACTGTGTGTATATTTTTAAAGATACAGCGAATTTACAGGTGCTTCCATCAGATAATTACGCTAACTTATGCCTTATGGCATCGCATTGTTTTGGGGCCATTTGTGCTGTGCATATTGACAGAACCTTTCCTGTGAACTTTGTACGGGAACTAATTATGCACTCTGTTTCGAGGAATATTTTTATACGCGCATTTAACGTAGTCTAATGTTTGAACAAAAGTGACTATATCCCATAGCCAGTAGGAGTTTCATGCAGTTGTGTTTAGTATTTTCAAAACTGGTTACATAATTTATACTTGTTATATTGAATGATTTATAGGTTTTTAACTTTTTTGCATGCACAGGGGAAACAGCTTACTCATGCACGCTATAGGACAATTTTGGTTCAGAGATGGTGGTCAACCTGCAGTTGTCAGAGTGAGAAAATAATATTAGTTGTTTTCACTAGAAATAAACAGCAGGAAGATCAGAAATATACCAGGAACAGTGACGTAGCCAGCCCGACAATTTAGTCCCGCTATGCAAATTTAAAATTACTACCATTATTCATTTCTTTAGAAATTGATTGTTTTCACAGTCAATGAACATAAAATATTTGCATAGCGAGACTAAATCGTCTGGCTGGCTACGCTACTGACCAGGAAGATCATTGCAGACTTATGAGATCATCGATACTTATCACTGTGAAGGAAGTTTTTCAATGAGATTAACTACATGCGTGAGTGGTCATAAAATTAACTGCATACTGCATGCAATGGTAGCATCTGTCCAACTGAGACACCTAGACTGCGAAAGATACGTCCTACTGTGTATTTTTTGACCAACGGGCAACGGGGCATTTTTCGTTGCTGAAAAAGTTCCTCAGCCAGCTAGCTAAGTATTTAAAACTGCCACTAACTTGCAATCTGATTTTTATCATGTGAAATGTTGGGGTCATTCTGAGAAAAAATTAAATATATCTTTTATATAGTAAACAAAAATAATTTTGATCAACTTTTTCACTGTCAAAGTTTCCGGGATATGATGTCATTAAATGAATCACAAACTAGTTTTTCTTCGTTTGTGGTTCCAATTCATTCAAGGACATCGGATCTGGAAACTTGACAGTGAAAAAAGTTAATCAAGATGAGGGTTTTACTATATATCACATTTCTTCAAATAACTCAAATTTATTTAGGGTTAGTGACATTTAAGGCTAAGCAGAAGAAATTGCAATTTGGTTAAAATTGAGATAAAATGTTCCCATCATGCAGCACCACGTTATTTTGCAGTATTTATATTCTATGTAACTATAGCATAGGCGAGTTCTGGCCAAAAACACGTAAAAAACTATTTTATTGGATATGGCTAAAAATAATTTTTATCTGAAATCTTTTTGACGTATTTAGAGTACAATGACTGTATAGAAGTACAGTTCTTGTACGAGGGTAACACGTAAGAAAATTGAAAACACACGCAGTGCACTTCCGAAATCCCAAACATTGAAGTGGTAATGCACGCTGACGTTACCCAGGTAGAGTGCGTAGGATTAAATTATTGCCCTAAATATGGATTAAAGTATTGGCCGTTAGCTGATATAAGAGGCGAGAGAGGGTTTGTAGCTAGTTCACTTCACTAGTACACCAAGAGAACAGTTCAAGGACAAACAAAAAAAGACACATCGAGATATATTCCAAGAAGAAATCAAGATTATCAATTTGAAGAAGCTTGAAGAATTAAAGAGCCACAAAACGACAAATAGAATTCATCATTAAAATGATTTCACAAATGAAAAATTCTTTGTCTTCAACTCGTACATTCCTGTACACTCCTCCACTGTGGAACATAAGAATGGTTCTACTCCTAACTCTGTTCCTAGTGTATGAACTAAGCAGTACAATAGAGGCAAAGTCACATACATTAAGTACGTATATGAATCGGACTGTCGTCAGTAAAGCAGGCAGATATCTCACCATCGGCAAACAAGGAATAACTGGAGAATATTCATATAGCCCGTACGGTAAGAAAATTTGAGATTTGACTTTAGTAACATATCTAGAGATAATTTTCAACCACATTAAACAAAACCCAAAGAAAACTGATCACGGGTGGACGGTAATAAAAAATTAACACGCTTTGCTTGGTAGGGATGCAACTGCTACCTGAAAAATATAAGTAGAAAAAAATACTGGCCAGTTTTAGAAGTTATATCACACATTGTACCTATTATATAATGGCGATTTGCAAAACGAAGATTGAGCTGATCGAGTATTTTGACCGATATATTGAGGTGTTTTAATTAAAATCACTATTAATAATAAATAAACTTGGAGTGTATAATTTAACTTCCCATACAAACCAGTGTATTCAAAGTCAAAGAGGAATTTAACGTTAATAGAAACATTAACGTTATAAGAAATTTGACTTAATTGACGTGGATATCTATTACAGTGGTGACACTAAAACAACGATATACGGTGATGATTTCCGTGGGTTTTACTCATGAATTGTTTGTTAATGAGTTTTGGAAATCACTTTAAAAAATCATTAATAATTCATGAAGCAATTATCCAATCTTGAGTAAGAAATTAGTCACGTGCATGCATACGTCTTTATACCAGCTAAAGAACACTTTAACAAAAGACCATTGTTATGCAAACTATATAAAGATTTTTATATAAAGATTTTTATATAAAGATTTTTATATAAAGATTTGACTTATTATGCATACGTTTTTGAAGTCATTTAAAAAACTCGCGGGTCGTGTTTTGATTAGGCCTAACAAAGCCAAAGGGACTTCGAGGTGTTTTGAATCTTTTACAGGCTGACACTATTATCTCTTCTTCATTATTGAATCAAATGAAACAAAATGTCCAACGATTTAAAACAATTCTTTGTTCACTTGGTATATCAGGGTGTATAGTAGATACTAGTAGATTATGTAAATATCTCTCTCCTTTTCCATTGCAGCTAAACTAGCGATACGCACAGTTGGATTTAACTCAGAGATTACAATAAAAGCAGTGAAGATGGATAAATACCTGGCAATGGACAGCACCGGGAAAGCTTATTTAGTGGTAAGTGCTTGTTTTCGCTTTTGAACTGTTCAGATCCAAAAGTTGAGGTTTTGTAAGGGAATGAAAAATACACTTCATCTTTGGTTTATCAAAGGGAAAAAATATCCAATGTTTCAAACTTAGCCAGAATATACCATGCACGATTTAGGGTGGCTTTATTATGGCACTCAGTTGTAACACTGTTACAAGTGTTACACAGTGTTAAACAATGCTACATATTCTTACATAGTGTTACACAGTGTTATACAGTGTTACACATTGTTACATAGTGTTACACAGTGCTACATAGTGCTACAGAGTGCTGACAGTGTTACATAGTGTTACAAAGTGTTACATAGTGTTACATAGTGTTACATAGTAGTACATAGTGTTACACACACTAACCCTACCCCTAACCCCACCCCTAACCCTACCCCTAAATAAAGATAGTGTAACACTTGTAACACTGTTACCCGAGTATATACCCGATAATACACCCTAAATCATGCATCATATGAGCCAGAAGCAGTCCTTACCATGTAACATGTACAAGTTTAGTCATGCAACCACTTAACTATGCCTACAGAATCCAAATTCTTAAAAGACCTGCATGGAAGTTACACCATTATCCTTCGTATATATACCAAGGATAATGGTAACCGCCATGCAGGCCTTTTACAAATTTGGACTCTGTAGAAATAGTTAAGTGGTTTCATTCTAGCTTTTATAATATATTCAGTGGATTAAGTGCTTTACATTGTCCATCTCTGAAGGACCATCATCGTAGAAAGCAATTGGTTACTATAACTATAAGCTTTAATTAAACACAAAACAATACACGCATTGTAACATTGTCATAGAGAATGACAATGTTTACAATTTACAGACAATTTATGCCTGCATGGATTCTTTTAAACAAATGTTAGCTTTCCATGTCTCAGTCCAGACCTGGAAAGAGTGTTCAATGTTCCTCGGATCCTGAATTTGCTTCTCTGAATGTTCCTCAAAATGCGTAAAAACAATGGAAAATTCGACAGTGCATTACGCCATTATGTACGCAACAACAAAGTATGTATACCTGTCTGTATTTATGTCACAAACGGCAGATAAGGAAGTATATGATATTAAGAGGAGAATCTTTTGTATGTCACGCTCAAAACTATCTTTCCACTTGGTTATGACTAGTATATTCAAATAAAATAATGCTAAAATGAAGAGATTTTAGATAATACCCAAAAAGAAAATGATGTCTGAAGTTCAGTAAGTTTTGCTTATATTGCTGTATATAAATATGGCGCCAATTTTATAGGCTGCGAACAGGCTCTCTCTGAACTCTCTTTGAAATTTGAGAGAGAGCCTACAGGCCTAGCTAATAAAAATGCGTCTTTGGCGTTGCTTACAACGACGCAGGGTTCCCATTGGTTGAAACCGAGTAGTTGGTTATTAACTACATCATACTGCCATAAAAGGTAATGAAATTTACAAAACAATAGATTCAAGATGTCAAAACAAAACGCGGAAATCGAAAAATATCGTTCTATAGCGATAAAAAAATGTATTAGACGAGTTGTATAGAAAACTAAATTTGGGCAGTCAAATGGGCAGTCAAAAGCTCTTAGCAATATTCTAGACGGAAACGATGTTTTATGCTGTAGGCTTTAAATTAAGAGAGTTTGGCAAAATAACGGCGACGGCAACGTGCTTATATCAAGTTATCAACAATAGCATCTTTACTCTAAGACAAAGGCGACTATAAATTGTATTCCTTTGTCTTTGAACATTCTAGTACGCCGTAGTTGTTCAAACTGCCACGTTATTTACATCATTTTCACGGCTCATGACCACGCCAACAGAGTAAAACGTTAAAGTCCTTCATTCCTTTGCGGTGTTTTATGTGAATTCACTTACTATTGCTACTTCAGGGAATTTCAGGGTTGTTTCGCTTAAATACAAAAGTATAAGTAATTTTCTTTTCTGCCATCGCCTTTGTTGGTTGCCAAACTCACTAATGACACTGGTATTACCGACAGGCTATACGGCAAAAGCTTAATATTTCAACTTTCGGTCCTCGTCCAGGAGAGGGAAAGAAGAGAACCCGCTATAGCCATCATCATTTATTCATTTGTCCTCTAATTAGTATTATAGAGGACTAAATGGAAGAAGCTAAGGACCTTGGTATTAGCTCGGTTTGCGTTAGTGACGAATCAAACATTAGGGGACATAAAATCGGGGAAATTTCATTTGATATTTGGATCGGCCGAAAACGTTCTTAACAAGTGTAGTATCGACGCTTTAAAATATTCAAGTTGTCATTTGCGTATTAATCGTTTGGTTGCTTTTGTTATAGACGAATCTCACGTCATTGAGACGTGGACTGGTGAAAGGAAAATACAAATTCAAAATGCACATTTTATTTTTATGCATGTCCCGCATAATCTTTCAGACCATTCTGGACCTCTTTCACAAACAATCCCTATATTTTGCAAAAGAACTTCAACCCTATCTTGCCCTACTGTTGGCTTGACTTGAGCAAGTTCACTATTGAAACGGACTTCCATGCATGTACTGTATCTCCGTATTTTACTTTTAAAGAAGCATTGCAACAATGGCAAAATTCGTTCACATTTTCAGCGGTTTTTTACGAGTAAATTTTTTTGGAGTTTCTTTCCAACTTGACATTACAGACTTGTTGTAAACAATTATGCGTTGAAATCGAGATTTGCATTTTGTTTACATCTATATATTCGCAGGCTATTACATAAGGCGCGTGCCTGATATTAATTTGTCACATTGTAATTTTGAATGATTAAAATTTGACACATTTTCATTTGATTGACAACACTATTAAGAAGATGGGCACAGACGTATTTTTATTGACTAAATCGGCAGGCTCTAATTCAATTCAAAGAGCCTGTTCGCAGGCTACCAATTTTACAGCAATGATAATTGTGTTTAAATTGACAATATTTAACTACATATTACATTGTGTTTCTCAACCGCCAGATACATTCAAAAAGGTTGCTAACTGCCTTAACTACAAAATAAAGCTAAAACAAATTTTGAGAGAAACGCCAAAAAGATTTTAGGTTTTGAACACTTTTCATTGCAAATACGCGACGTTGAAAAAAATTGCCTCTTAATAATGATTCTTTGTGATTCTCCCTTAACTTATATTGAGTAAATTCGAAATATTCTCTAATCTGCTTGCTAAGGCAAAAAATCGAGCTATCGATGATCCCACTTTTTTCTAGATCTGTCTGAGTCTATAATATGAACTACTCTCGTCTGGGTCTAGCTGTAACAATTGTGAAAGGTCCTTCACTCCATCTCAAAGTTATTGGCTTCAAAGTTATTAAAGGTAAACTATGAGAAATGTACTCAAAATGTAATCTTTTTTCTAGGTAAATGAAACGAAAGAAGCAGTGTTGACCATTAAATTCCGAATAATTACTGGATTTTTCTCAATTCGCTCTAAGTCATATCCATCAAAATATCTGGCTATCTCTGGAACGGGATCTGTTAGTGGTGGTACGAATACGAAGAGTGATGATACGTTGTTTGCCTTGTTGTTTACTACTTAATTTTATATAGAGTAAATCATATATGCCGGAAATATAGTATTCTGAGACTCACTATAGGATTATATATACTAATATAAATGCTATTATTCATTCATATCCATCAAAATATCTGGCTATCTCTGGAACGGGATCTGTTAGTGGTGGTACGAATACGAAGAGTGATGATACGATGTTTGCCTTGTTGTTTACTACTTAATTTTATATAGAGTAAATCATATATGCCGGAAATATAGTATTCTGAGACTCACTATAGGATTATATACTAATATAAATGCTATTATTCATATATATATATATATATATATATAGATATATATATAATTATTACATTCTCTGAAAGAAAATTAAACAAATCCAAAGACAAAGATGACAAATTAAAGTCGTTGTATAATAATAAGAGATATAATTAAATGTTCAGTAAATGTCTGAATAAAAAGGAAGTGAGAAATGTCTGATTATATAGTGGGTGAGTTCATATATGGATGATTATTTAAGAAATAGAAAACGAGTCGCGTGCGTTCATGGTGTGATAATGCACGAGGGCAATGTTCATTGGGAGAATACAACAGAAGCGTGTATATATATAACTACAGACGGTACCGTTTCGGCCTTTTGGGCCTCATCATGAAAGCGGCAATTGATTCATCGAGCCGCGCCAATCAGTTTGAATTAGGGTCAGATCCTGACTCTGTCTCCTGATTGGATGATTGTATTAAGGTTCTCTGATTGGTTATTGATGTTTTATTTGAATCAATCAGAGAGCTTTAATACAATCATCCAATCAGGAGACAGAGTCAGGATCTGACCCTAATTCAAATATATAATATATATGTTGATTTCCATACCCAGCGCAAGCAGAAAGATGTTGTCTGCCGCGGCTGGGTCTTGAACCCGCGACCTTCGAATTACTAGATCGACGCTCTACCAATGAGCTACACGGTCAGACGGATTTAAGACTGGAAATTATGAAATATATATATTACAGAGTGTACAATAACACAATCAACATAACACTTGCAGAACTAGTATTGTTCGATGCTGAATTAATATAAACGAGTATGTTTATGACATTCAGTATATATTTCATAATTTCCAGTCTTAAATCCGTCTGACCGTGTAGCTCAGTAATTACTAATTACTTCCGTCCCCCTATTTTGCATACTAATTACTTCCGTCCCCCTATTTTGCTTACTAACCGAAGAGATTAAAAAGATTAAGGAAAAAGGGTAATGTTCCCTGGTTCAATAAAACTGTTAAGAATAAGTTGTTTCAGAGAGACCACTTTAAGCGCGTAGCAATAAAAACCAATAATGAAAATGATTGGAAGCTGTACAAGTCATCTCGAAATGCTGCAAATATTACCTTGCGAAATGCTAAAAGGGAATACTATGCAACAAAATTCCTCAATAACAAAACGAACCCAAAATATGCGTGGAAAACAGTTAATGAGATACTAGGAAGAAGTCAGAAGCAAAATATTGTTAACGAAATTATTTTACCAGAGAAAACAGTCACATCAACTACTGAACTGGTTAATGTTTTTAATGATTATTTTACCGATGTTGGTCCTAAACTTGCTGAAAAAATTGAATACGAACACAACTGTAGCTTTCGAGATTTCATTCCTCAACATGAACCAGTTGAGAGATTTATTTTCCAACCTGTAAATGTTGCAACAGTTTATAGGCTTATAACCAAATTAACTATCTCCAAAGCTACAGGTATTGACGACATTTCAGCTAAAGTATGAAAGGCTGCAGCTCCTGCTATTGCAGAGCCTCTAACAAGGATTTTTAATATGTCTATTGCCACTGACAGATTCCCGATGGAATGCAAAGTAGCACGAGTAACTCCAATTTTTAAAAAAGGCCAACGGACTATGTTAGACAATTATAGACCAATCTCAATTTTACCTGTGGTCAGCAAACTGATGGAAAGGATTCTGTACGACCAAATGTATGATTATTTAAAGAAACAGAATATTCTTTCAGAACATCAGTTTGGTTTTAGACAATTCCATTCCACAACTACCACACTTTTAGATTGTACTAATGAATGGTATATTAACATGGATCGTGGCTTATACAACATAGTTGTTCTTCTCGATTTAAAGAAAGCATTCGATACTGTCAACCATGAAATTCTTTTACGTAAGTTCGAACGGTATGGCTTTGGTAATAAAGCCCTAGATTTACTAAGTAATTACTTAACAAATCGAACACAAAGATGTCAGCTAAATGGAATTCTTTCAGATCAGAGAGGAATAACTTGTGGCATCCCTCAAGGAAGTATACTTGGCCCTCTTCTGTTTATTATCTATATAAATGATTTGCCAAATTGTCTCAAACATACAACACCAAGGATGTTTGCAGACGATACCAGCCTTACATCTGTGGGCAAAACATTAAATGAAGCAGAAGAGATAGCGAATAAGGATTTGAAAAATATTAAAGTGTGGTTGTGTTCAAACAAACTTAGCTTAAATATTGCGAAAACGGAATATATTTTGATTGGATCACGCTCTAAGATTAATAGCATGGATGTCCAACCCACAGTTAAGATCGACACATGTCCAATCAAAAGAGTAAAAAGCGCAAAAGTGCTAGGAGTTGAAATCGATGAGAACCTAAACTGGGAAAAACATATTGAATATATCGCTAGTAAAGTATCTTCGGGGATTGGTGCGTTAAAAAAACTTAAAGAATTTGTAGACCGAGATACATTAGTGCTGGTGTATAATGCATTGATCCAGCCGCATTTTGATTACTGTTGTGAGGTTTGGAATGAGCTTGGCAAAAGCCTCGGCGAACGTCTTCAAAAATTGCAAAATCGAGCGGCTAGATTAATTATGAATTTTAAAAATGAGCATGGACAGTCTATCTTAGCTCGTACTGCTCTCGGTTGGACATCCCTTGAAGAACGTAGAGCATTAATGAAGGCCAAACTCATGTACAAAACAGTAAATCAATTAGCTCCACAAAGACTGGGTAACATTTTCCAATTTTCCAACACTGTAAATAGCTATAATTTAAGAGGTTCTTTAACTGGGCTTTTTATTCCAAGGCCCAGGACAGAATTTTTTTAAAAAAGTTTCAGTTACAGTGGGGCTAAATTATGGAATAGGATACCAGAAAATATCCGAAATTCGATATCTTACAACTCGTTTTGTAAAAACCTTTTCTCCTCGCCCTCGGCCTCCCAATTATTAAATTAAGTAGTTTATTTAAGTGAATATTTAATAGATTTATATAATAATAGTTTGTATGTATTAGTAAATTAGTTTTAAAATTGTAACAATTAGCCAGCACACCTCTCATGGAAATCAGCTTAGTGTTGAATGGGACTAGTGTGCTTAAATAAAGTTGATCTATCTATCTCTATCTAATTACTTCCTTCCCCATAGTGGGGTCTATCACTACTAGCGGTGCGAACACAATTTGTTGACGGCTTGTTGGCAGACTTGAAGAAGAAGATGAATTTATTCGCACCAGTCAAAAATACATAATTACAAATTTTTTCCACACATTATTAAAACAGAGTTGGCACAGGATATCTGAAGTAGCTAGCTTTAACACTAATCGAAGTTAGATAACCTTATTAAAGTATTCGAGCCACTGTGGGTCAACATTGGGTTTAAGGTCATGGTGCACAATGATTATACAGATACAAATTTATAGACAAATGCAAAAACAAAAGCAAGCATAAAGCCAGTAATCATTAATTATAAATTTGATTTTAGTTAATTTGAAAGCAAATTAAAACAGAAATAAGAATAAAAATAAAGCTAGTATTCATTAATAAATTTGATTTTAATTTTTTTTTTGAAGACTGATTTAGTTAGTATTTTCAAGCTATCATCTATATCATTCCAAATATAGGGTCCCTGTGATCGGATAGAAAATTTACCGTAATTTGTTCTTACAATTGGTATACAATAACTAATTGTTGTTGCTAGTCTAGTACTGTACTTGTGTTTATCACCAACGAAAAAGAAAAAATCGTTAAAGACAGTAGGGAGTCTATTTGTGTAGTATTTTAACCTTAAAACCCAACTATGCTACGTAAAACTCCCTTTTTAATACAGCTGTCCAGTTCACCTCGAGGTGCCTGTTTTTCCCGCCGGAAGTACTAACTCCCGGATGTTACACTCCTTTTTCCCTGGATTAAAACCAGAGTCCCTGCAACATAACAACTAAACTAATAATGTCAACACTCTAACCTAACAGTTTATAATCCATTAGTGTTTTATACTCTAATATTAATGTAATTACTCACGAATAATAGTCCGGTGTCTGTCTATCTCTTTGCGGATATCGGGTTGCTGGGACTGCATTTTCTTCGCTAACCACTTGTTGGTCTGGAACGGGTTGCTCGTTGAGATCTGGATCCATGGCGTCGTTTTCGTTTTCTTCGGGTAAATCTCTTTGAATCACCTGATCTTGATGACGATGAACTGCCCGGTCGTCTTCCAACTGTATGGTATAAGAAACTGGCCTGGTTTGTGTGTTGATAACTCCTGGACACCACTTTTGTTGTTTTCCAAATTCTCTCGAATATACTAAGTCACCTGGTCGTAATTGTCGATCCACTGCATGTTGATCGTGTAACTCTTTCTGCTTCTTCTGTTGGTTCTGTACTCTTTGTCTTACATCAGGATGTAGTACGTCCAAGCGAGATCTTGGTTTTCTGCTCATAAGCATTTCCGTTGGCGCTATCCCTGTGGTTGAGTGTGGCGTGATACGGTATTTGAAGAGAAACCGAGACACTCTGGTTTCCAAACTTTCCTTATTTGACATCTTCTTCATCCCTTCCTTGAACGTCTGGACCGCCCTTTCTGCAAGTCCATTGGAGGCTGGATGATAAGGAGCAGTCCTTTCTCCTGAGGAAAATTTTCCGTCGTATCATACCGAAATTTATGTTTGTGACCTAATTTTTAAAAAAAATTTGTAACAAAAACGGCACCTATTGTTTTAATTTAGTATTTACAGCGACATTAGCTTCTACAAAAGGGGCACTTTTCCTCACAAAAAAGAGCACTTTTCAACACAAAAAGGGCACTTTCTATCACAAAAAAGGGCACTTTTAGTCCTTTAAAAAAATTTGGGGGGGCACGTGCCCCCCGTGCCCCCCCGCTTCCTACGCCCCTGAGCCATTTTGAGTACGCGTCGACCATGACGAGGAACATTTTCCCCAAGAATGGACCAGCATAGTCAATATGAATTCTTTCCCATGGTCGACTTGGCCATTCCCACGGGTGCAGTGGCGCTTCAGGAGGATTCTTTCTATTTATCTGTTCGTACTTTGTTTTCCAAATCGTTATCCATGTTTGACCACCACACGTAGCTTCTTGCTAGACTTTTCATCTTACATATTCCTGGGTGGGTTTCATGTAATTCGTCAACCACTTGCCTTCTTCCTTGGGGTGGAACAACCACTCTGTTTCCCCAAAGTATACAGTCGTCTTGAACACTCAGCTCGTCTCGTCGTTGAAAATATGGTTGAAACTCCCCATCTGGACACTTGCTAGGCCAACCTTGTTTAATAAATTTCAAAACTCTAGCAAGTATAGGAGTTCTCTTTGCCAGTTCTTCACTTGCTCTGCTCTTATTGGAGTAGTCTCCAATAGTTCCATGAGTAAGATTGTTTCTTCAGGAACTGGTGTTGAACCTGGGGTGTCTGGCAATGGTAATCTACTGAGGGCATCAGCATTTGCATTCTGACTTCCTTCTTTGTACTGAATGGCGTAGTCATACGCAGACAAAATTAATGCCCACCGCTGAATTCGAGCTGCAGCCATTGGTGGTGTCATTTTATCTGGATGAAGTACCCGCTCAAGCGGCTTGTGGTCTGTCAGTATGGTGAAATGTCGACCATACACGTACTGGTGAAATTTCTTGGCACCAAATACGATGGCTAGTGCCTCTTTGTCTATTTGAGAATAGTTTTTTTCAGCTGCGGACAATGATCTCGAGGCAAATGCAATTGGTTGTTCTGTGTTGTCTTCCATCCGGTGTGACAAAACCACAGGAGGCCCAGGCTCGATTTGCCCGCGCCCGCCTGTGCCTTCCTTATAACGAGGGAAGGAAGGAAACATTGAGACCAAAATAGCCCAGACTTGGCATATGTCATACGAAACTATCCTCGATTTTTCGCCTTTAATGCATTTCTTTCACGATTAATCGACATCCCCTGCAAGAATGATACCGTATAACTCTCAAAACAACGATGCTTTAATCAAAGTGCTTAAATTCGCTCTGAAATCCGTGAGGGAATAACAAAATTCGGCCAAAATATATCCGCGTGCCGGGTTTGCTGGACAAAAAGCGGAAGTCGTTGAACAACTCAAAATACACTCAACCCTGATTGGACGACGAATATCAACAAACATTTCAAATTTTTCTCCACTGGGAGGGGAGACAGTACTTGGAACAGTACTGTAATAATTTGATTATTTGGATTAAAAACAATTCACAAACGTTATAAAGTCTACTACAAGTCGATTATATATTTATATGTGTTACTGTAAATATAACTGCAAATATAACTATAATTTTACGCTGAAACATGTTGTCAAATAGGGTAAATTACAATCCGTATTTACTGACTAAACTTCTTAAATTTAAATAATTAGATTTGCACTGGTTTTCCCCCGACAAATTTGTTAATTGTTTTGGTTCAAATTTATATTACATTACTGACTACTGAAAATTTGAAATGTTTGTTGATATTCGTCGTCCAATCAGGGTTGAGTGTATTTTGAGTTGTTCAACGACTTCCGTTTTTTGTCCAGCAAACCCGGCACGCGGATATATTTTGGCCGAATTTTGTTATTCCCTCACGGATTTCAGAGCGAATTTAAGCTCTTTGATTAAAGCATCGTTGTTTTGAGAGTTATACGGTATCATTCTTGAAGGGGATGTCGATTAATCGTGAAAGAAATGCATTAAAGGCGAAAAATCGAGGATAGTTTCGTATGACATATGCCAAGTCTTGGCTATTTTGGTCTCAATGTTTCCTTCCTTCCCTCGTTATAAGGAAGGCACAGGCGGGCGCGGGCAAATCGAACCTGGGCCTCCCGTGCAGAAACATGCAGCTTCTCCGTAGAAACACGTGCCTTCTCTGTGGATGAGCACTTTCCTTGTGAATTAAAAAAGGCACGCCCCCCTGAATATTTATTGGTTTTATACGACGGGGGGAGGAAGAGAAAATAAAGTCACAAGTCAACATCGTGGTCAAAACATCACAAGCCAATTTTATAAATATGAATGCTTTAATATGGGCACAGATATCCAGCATATAAATTGTGAGAATTGCCAGACAGAGATTTTGATCGTTTATAGCTTTTGTAACAATTGTGGAAATAGATACATACTATAAAGTTTTACTTTTTTATATTTATGTTATCATTTTTATTTGTGGATTTATATTTTTATAAATTGAATATTTAAATATACAACGTATTAATCTGTCGGTCAGTCTCGTATGCGAATCTGCTAGTGTAGGTATGGATATACAAATACCTACACTAGCAGATCCGCATACGAGACTGACTGACAGATTATTAAATACGGTGTATATTTAAATATTCAATTTATAAAAATATAAATCCACAAATAAAAATGATAACATAAATATAAAAAAGTTATATTTATGTTATCATTTTTATTTGTGGATTTATATTTTTATAAATTGTATATTTAAATATACACCGTATTTAATAATCTGTCAGTCTCGTATGCGGATCTGCTAGTGTAGGTATTTGCATATCCATACGGACCATACCTACACTAGCAGATCCGCATACGAGACTGACTGACAGATTAATACGGTGTATATTTAAATATTCAATTTATAAAAATATAAATCCACAAATAAAATTGATAACATAAATATAAAAAAGTAAAACTTTATAGTATGTATCTATTTCCACAATTGTACAAAAGCTATAAACGATCAAAATATCTGCCTGGCAATTCTCACAATTTATATGCTGGATATCTGTGCCCATATTAAAGCACTCATATTTATAAAATTGGCTTGTAATGTTTTGACCACGATGTTGACTTGTGACTTATTTTCTCTTCCTCCCCCCCGTCGTATAAAACAATAAATATTCAGGGGGCGTGCCTTTTTTAATTCACAAGGAAAGTGCTCATCCACGGAGAAGGCACGTGTTTCTACGGAGAAGCTGCATGTTTTTGCGGAGAAGAGGTGCCCCGTTCGGGCCACCGCATCGTGTTTCACAGAAATGCTAC